GTTCCATGATTTTATTCCTGGATTTTGTCACTATAGCTCTATTTTCAGCAATGAAAATTACATTTTTAGCCCTATTTCTAGCCCCAGTGATTTGTTTATATATATATATATATATATTTTTTTTTTTTTTTGAGACAGAGTCTCGCTCTGTGCCCCAGGCTGGAGTGCAGTGGCGCAATCTTGGCTCACTGAAAGCTCCGCCTCCCGGGTTCACGCCATTCTCCTGCCTCAGCCTCCTGAGTAGCTGGGACTACAGGCGCTGGCCACCGCGCCCAGCTAATTTTTTGTATTTTTAATAGAGACGGGGTTTCACCGTGGTCTCAATCTCCTGACCTTGTGATCCACCCGCCTCGGCCTCCCAAAGTGCTGGGATTACAGGCGTGAGCCACCGCGCCCGGCCTGTTATGTACTTCTTACTTGCATTTAAGACATCCACTACTGTGTGAGAATTTCCAAACCAAAAGGTCAGAATGATGTTTTCTTCACCTATAAACCTAAGGAAAATGGAGGTATTCTTTTTCTCTCCTTCTTCCTTGTTTTCCCCTCTCTCTCATCCTAGGGGCCATGAATCTCAATGACAAACAAAAGCGACTGAAAAGTAGATGAAAGAAAAGGCTTTACATTATTTGGTCTCTTCTACTAGCCATGTTATTTTTGCAGAGTCAGAAATGCTTTTTTTTTTAGTATTGAAAACATACCTATTCATCAGCCAAAGCTGTAGCAGCCAGAAAGTACTACAACTCACAGACTGCAAAATATTATATCAAAAGTATATTAGTCAAATAGAATTTTCATCGGCTAGTTGCTTTACCCAAAACAAATACATTGTTCAATAAAACACTAAAGGAAATTATTTTCTAAGCACAAGTGATGACGCAATGTGGTTCTGTGAAAGCCCTTTACTGTCTTACTGCGCTACGTATCTGCAAGCTCCACCTATGCAAACATGAAAATCAATGTAACAATTCAGTGTACAAGGCAAGGCCTACGGTGGTGCTAATGTCCCCTTGCTGGACACACACCTTAAGTCTCAGAGCTCTCAAGGGGTTTGCTGTGGAATAAAATTAGATTCCAACATCTGCCACCATTAAGGAAAAAAATCCATTTCCATCTCCCATATGAAAACACTATAACCAATGAACAGTAACTGAACCTTGATACTGAGATGGTTATTACCCAAATCAACTATTTTTTTTTAAACAGTAAAATTAGCGAATTCTGCTCTCATAATTATTTGAATGTTATCAGACTAAATGTTTGATAAAATTCCAATATGATTCACTTGGAAAAACTGCTGCTTATTTGAATACCCAGAATATAAAGTGTATTCATTTGTAGCTATTCACATTAGGTTTAAAGCATATCATCTTTTTAAAGTTTGCATTAGCCTGCTTTCCTAACCAAGCACAAAAAGTAGCCTACCTTCAGTTTTTACTTGCACATTTTATTCAGACATTTCTATTAGAGTTAAGAACAATTCCATATCTATTATTCATTGAAGAGAGGAGACAATACATGTGAAATGGCGGAATCCACATGAGTTGGTTTCTTTTACAGAAAATACTCTGTGTATTAGTCACTACAGAGCACGCTTTACCTTTTAAAATTGAAGGTATTTATGATACATAAATACATGATAAATAAATCTCTTATCCATGTGGAGGACTGAACCTCTTGCTTAGCACATTATGAAACATTACCATTTGGGTACAGTGCTATATAATTTAAAAGCTCTAGCATGTGCCTTCTATGTTAAAATAATCCTGGGCTAAAAAGTTAAAATTTCCCAATATTATAGCACCTATGACACAATCTGGATCAGAACTGGCCTCCTTTGACTCCTCCACCCTGTACACCCACCTCCATAAAGTATGATAGAGCCTGGATTCTGAAGGCTCTGTGTAACAACCTTGTGTGGTAAGAATCTTGTGTTCCACGAACATGTCAATGAAGAAAGGAAAGCCCTCACTGTCTGCACTATCAATAAGACCACTATCCCTAATCCCTCTTCCCCAGATCAGGGTAGTACTTCAGTGATGATGATGCTGCCTTGAACCCTAAAGACAGTCTAAAATAGGAGAAATGAAGAGAATTTGGAGTTGGCTGCACATTTATTAGTTAAGAAACTTTCATGTGTGAAATTAAGAAAATAATAGCTCACAGGGTTACTAAATTAATGCAGATAATCTATAATGTATGATAGAGTCTAGCACAAAGAACATGATGATTAAGTCAACCCAGACAACCAGGGCAAGACACAGAAGCAGAGGTAGATGGGCTGAGACAGAAGACACTCTGGTTCTTCTGGCTTCACACACATTTTGTCTTGGGGAACTGCTGCCTCATTTTGGCAAGCCCTGGCACACATCTGAGGTCTAAATATCTATTTTAGAAGTGCAACATTTTGACCATTAAAAATGTCAGTCTGATTTGAAGTTTTTGTTGTTGTTGTTAGTTTTTCTGTTTCCTTCACAAAACATCATAGCATGAGAACAGAACCTAAGCAAACGGCCACTTTTCCTTATTAAATCGGGTTTGTTAGTGATACACACAGGTTTAGTATTCATTTTTTAAGCAATCATCAATCTTTCAACATATTTACATAAACAGGGTAGTGCTAACATTAAACTGAACAACTAAGACAAGACTACAAAAATGCTGTACTAGGACGTCAGAGTAAATCAGAAGTTGAGAATAACTATCCAAGGGAATAAAGTTAATAGTTTGCTTGATTCCCATAGCCCACAATTGGCCCCTTTGATTTTCTCTCAAACAGTAATGAGTCATCAGCTAAAAGCTTTGGGGGTTTTGGGAAACACACCATCACAGAAGATGCTTGGAATTTGCTTATTTACAGTGCTGACATAGAGACCCATGAGGAGCTGTGTAGGACCGGGTACAAAGAGCAGGGTTGTTTAAAACGGCTTAGAACATCACCTGCATGACATTATTAGCCAATTTCTGCTACTGTCCAAATAGCTCCAAAATCAGTACCCAGCCCAGGTTAGGGAGAAGCTGGGGTATCATTTAAAAGGATGAAGTCAAAGACAGCAAAGGAACTATGAATCAAAAGGAATCAGAAAGGAAAATGATGGCAAGGGGTGGGGGTAGACTGAATTAAATGACAGGTGATAGACAACTAAATATGGTTATTAAAAAGTTATAATATTAATTTTTGTTTTAAAGCTAACCTTTACTATAATGATACATGTCCAGTTTCTCCATTTTGGAGATTTAGGGAAAGTGGCTTTTGTAGAAATGCAGTCTGATTATTACTGATGATTGGACAGGTCAGAAAAAAAAATGTAGAATCAGAAAGAAAGGCAAGATAATATATATATAAATATGAGATCCTCATCATAATTAGGCTAAAGAGCCAAAACAAGAATGTGTGGGGTGAGCAAGTAGGTGGGGGGGTAAAGTGAGACCAGGACATTTCTCTTTAACGCATAGTCTTGGCATGTAAATGAAGACATCGGAAGAAGCACACAGGTTTAAAGCGGCTCTAACATTCTATCATAATTAGAAACATTTCAAGAGCCCTGTAATTTCCAATCAAAATTACAGTAATTTCCGATATACAAGCCATGATTCATGACAGAATTTTACATTCCATGAGAGATTACGGTGGCCTGATGTATGACACGCTGAGTACAGCACTAACATAAACAATTCAGTTTAATGTTTAAACAGCACTTGATGTTTAGAATCTCACAATAAAAGAAACATATTATTGTAGAAATTATCACTTTGACAGTGATTGAAGGGTAGGCAGGCATGTGGCCTATAAAGCTATAATTTTTACAGTCCACAGCTTGAGTTTAATCATTTTTATATAACATTTCCAAGATATCCCTTAAGTATTTCATCAAGCCTATAACTTAAACAAGAACAACATTCTTCTAAAGCAAAACTCCTGTCAAGTAACACTATAAATGTCGATAGGGTAAAACTTCAGGAAAATCTGGAAAGATTATTATGTTACAAATATATCGGATTATAAATACTCCCACAATTGTGTATTTTTTCAGAAGTTGACAACAGTCAGGCTGTTTTAGGATTCATTAATGATAATGAAAATACAATTGCGTAAAATTTCAAGTTGTTAAAATCTTATCTGGAGTCCCTATTTGCCTCTAAATCTCACCTTGACAGTGTTATCAAATCCTTTTTCAAAGGGGAAAAGAGTTTAGTGTTCTTCTGGTCCTTTAAAAAGTATTCTTGGCTTTGGAGAAGGGTTTATAGATAACTAAGTTTGTTCATGTAGATGATTCCACTTTTGATGAATATGAATTATTAATATATGACAATTATCCTGATAAAAGACTATACAATCTATCCTTTTTTATTTAGTTTGGTAGAAATTTACAACTTTTCCAATTCAAGTCTATTCAGCTGTAATTCAGAGTTGGACAACTTGTAATCAATCTGTGCGTCTTGTATATTACACAGAAAAATTAAAATCATTAATATGCAAAGAGGTATGTTTGTGTGTGTCAGTTTGTCTTAATAAGTGTATTTAATAGTTGCAGACAGCTGAGTTGAGAGGCAACTATTCTCACCACTAGTCCACCAATGTCACATTAGATGGCTGAATTGGAACAGAGCAAACTGTATAAAGTTTTGTAGCCTTTTAGTAGGAAAAAACATCAAGATCATCTAAGCAATAACGAAGTAATAGTAATTCAGGTTATTTATTCTATACAATAGACCAGACTGAGAAACTGACTATCCATTATGATATCCTTCTGAAAATACCTATTAACTCACTTGGGGATTTACCGTAAAATCCTTGGTCTGGGGAGTGGCTACTGGAAAAAAGAATACCAAGTGCCTATAACCTGAATTTGAATATTGTTTCATTTTAGAGCTCTGGAAATAATCCTAGACATAGAGGCCTCTCCGTGATGCAAGTTCATATTGAAAATAGACACTCCTTTTAATGAAAATTCCACAGGCAACACAGATAAACGTTCTCAATGCCTAACAGAGGCTCTTACCTGGCTTTTGGTTGCTGCAACCTTTGCAAACAGTGCTTGAGACACTTTAGCGCGCTTCATTTCCTGCTGAATCTCATCATAAATGGAAGCATTAATGTTCATGGTATTGTTCTCTGGTTTCCCATTCCTCTCAGTGGCAATAGTAGCTGTTTTCACCTACAAAACATTTTGAACATGGCTGTCATTTTTCATTGGCTAAATTGTTTTGAAGCTTCTCAGGCTCAGCATCCAAACTGGACACTGTTGCTCCTTTTATGATCAAGGTGATCAACAGTGCAGTCATTCAACATTAGTTATTGCCCTGAGATCAGATTGCTTAAGTTAAGGAAGTCACACTGTCACAGGTGATTGCATCTGTAATATGACAGCAACTGCCAGCTGACAACCAGGAATTATAATGCCATAAAGTAAGTTTTCTGGAAAACGAAATAGTTTCAAAGACTTGAAAACCCTAAACTAATTGTCTCCCAATTACCTTCCATTGCAATCCTAACAAAGGAAATTCACAATTAAAATCATAATGCACAGTGCTGTATCTTCGCTGGGTGCCCGGTGCCTAATAGACAATTGCATCACTAATAGCTATTACATACTATGGCCTTTCTAATTTTAGACTATTTTTATGCATTTTCCTCTTATGTTTCATTTAAAAAATCTTCCATAACAAAGCCATTTGCAGAACTGCATATTTAAATCTTCTATCCATCCATGAAGCAGGTAGAGTGCCTTGCTTAATTATCATAAAGGCTGGTTGCATTTTACACGTGCATGTCCAAGCTGTTCTGTGTAATTATTTCATCTTTTCCAGGCACCCCTGTATATAACTATTTCCTTTTGACTTGTGAAACCACACAGTAAGATAATGCTTCACAATATTTAATAAAATATTACTGTAAGCATCACAAAATATATAATCAGTGACTTTACTAATATATTCAAAAAGTACAATCTTGAGTGAAAAATCACTATCAATGCCTTTAGTAATAGTGATAAGCAGATATCTGCAGTAAAATGCCACAAAATTTTAGAAAGTGAAATCAAATCTCAACTTCAAAATGTACTGACACTATTACTCATTCTTAAAACTCCAAATTTATTTTTTATTACACAGTAGTATGAACTAGCCTGGAAAATTTACATAAAAACCATGTAGCTGATTTTTTACTGGGAAACTGATGAAAATATAAATGAAAAATTACCACAGATACAAAACCATGGTTCTTCCAGCAAACTAATCCCTTAAGGACCTCATCTCTTTGGTTACTTAACAGAACCCAGGTTTCTATCCTCTAGAAACTTATCATCCTGGACAATTTCTCACATAAATCATGAAAATAGAAAATGAAGTACCCTGTAGAATAAACAAACGATTTTTTTTTTTTTTTTTGGCATTAAATGATATAGCCTTTGAGTCAAGCTGCAGGACTTTGAGATTTATTTTACTCTGTTCCTAAAATATTCGGTGATTCAATTCTCCGTACTTAAAGCATAAATAGGAGACCTCTTTAAAATGTGCCTGCTGAATCCTAAGTTCTAGCCAATTAGCAAAATAATTCACCTCTTGCTTATCTTGAGAAAGTTGGTAGATGCTTCCACCACGATACCACCTTTCCAAGCATGGAAAAGATAATGCTGGGAAATAGTTGGCCCGCAGGCCTGAAGAGGACACACAGCAGGTAAGGCAGGACAGATGACCAAAGGTGGGGCCTCATCCGCTTCCTCTCCAGAGTTCCCCTTCTAGCTTTGCCACTCTAGTAAGCAAGGGCACTCATAGAGATATATTAATGACTGGAGGCCACTAGAACACATACAGGGCTTTGAAGCAATAATCTGCTAAACACCACTTTAAGAGCCAGAAGAGTTAACGCATTATCATAAATTGCCTACAAAGTTGCTTTGGTGAGATTGGAAACTTTGCTCTGGGGTGGTCTTGCTTTGAGGCAGAGGGATAGATTTGATCACCCCATGGGGTCCCTTTTAATACCTATTTTTCTCACTGCTTAAATGAAAGGGAAAAGAAAAGCCATTTCAATCATTTTGAAAATTGAATGTTATGGAAATGGGGGCACCAAGTCCAGTGCACTGAAGAAACATATCCTTGGTAGCAATCTGCTAAGCAACAGTTAAAAGAACAGGCTTTGGAAAGTTGGTCTTTTGATCTGTTTTTACAATAATTTTCATTATTTTGTAAAAATGATGTTTAAGAATTTATCTTTTGGTGTTATAATCATTTGTTTCAACCCTGTGACTTTGTTTCTAAAAACTTCTTTGGTTAATTTTTTTTTTTACTATAAAGTAATTACAATCAAGCACCAATTCTAAATTACTTTAAAAAATCATTTCCTAGTAGCCAACACAATCAAAAGTGAAAAAGAAGTATATAAGAAATGTTTTTTTAAAAAATATGAATGTGAGGGTAAAACTTTAATGATTACAAAATTAGAAAGTATCTCTGTATTACTCACTTTAAAATATTTAGGAAAGCTCTTCTTTACCATTTAGTTGGCCCAGATAGGCATCTTATAATAGATAAGCTATTAGAATTCTAGAATCACATTTTTTTCCTAAACACAAGCTATTGCTTAAGGGAAACTGACTTGGACAGCTTTTCAGAAATATGAAAGCTGAATTTTTCCCCAGGTAAAAATGGAAACAAAAATCTTTTATACCTCACTCTACTAAGTACTATTTTAGCTCAGTACAAAAAAAATCTTCTTTAATCCTGGTTTAGCTTTTAATATTATATCACACATTAAAATTCATAAAGTAGTTCATTCCAGGCAAAACAAACTACTGTTCAGCTCTTCTCCGCAAATAGCACAGGAGGTAAAATAAATGCAGTTGCTTTCAGAATAGCTTTTATCAAGGTAGGGTGTACTACTCCATTATTAAGGCGGCGCCGGGGAAGTAGTTAAGAATTGGAGCTTCTACTATTTACCCTCCCATGTGGGGATAGGGTGCAGCACTAGGGTCTGCTTTTTATTTCACTAAAATTGTGTGGCAGGACACCAATTTTCCATGAAAACTCTATTTTGCTTCTTCATGGATTGCTAAATGCATCAAATCATACTTTTAGATTACAGAAAATGAACTCTACTTTGGCCTTGATTGATGAACATCCTACTCTGATAGATGAGGAATTGCCTACAAGCACACTGCTTTTACACAAACAAAATTAAAATTAAAGTTATATGTAGTTTTAATAATGGTGATAATAAACACTGCCATTTATTAGTTGTTTATTATGTGCTGGACATTGTATTAATGTATGTTAACTTCTTAACTTGCCTAGCAGCCCGGCGGAGGTATTATGATTGTCCCATCTTAAAATTGAGAAAACTCCGTTAAATCAAACATGTTAAACAATTTGTTGATAGGGCAATGCTGAGATCTAAACTTAACTAGAAACCACGAAGTTATTTAGAGTTCATGACATTACATGCGCCTTCTTTACTTGAAAAAATTCTTAATTTTTAGAGCAGGCTGGACTTGCTTTTTGGTGGTCCTTTGATAAATCTAGCTCATTAATGTCTAATTTTTTAATAGCTATTGATTTTAATATTAAAATCCAATCTGAATTTATTTTCAGGGTATAAAAATTATGTTTTCTTATTAATGAAAATAAGAAATATCCTATTTTATGGATGCTTATTAGTGATGGAAAATATTTCCCACTCTTGAACTTTATTAACACTGTCTTTAGCACCATGATTTAACACTTGTAGATATTTGTTTCTTTCCAGGAACAGTATTATTTTCCAAATCGAGACTTTAAAAGTCTCCCAGCTTTTAAAAGATGACAATTAATGGAATGCATTTTCTAACTACATAAGCAATATCTTAAAATGATCTTCAAGTGATTCATAAGAAATAAAACTTTTACCAAGTGTTAAGTTCCTGCCTGTAACTGAACCTGAGATCAAGATGAACCTATGTTTCATTATATCATAGAGGGATTTCTTGTAAAGAGAACAGTGCAACTACCAGATTAATTATATACTCTTTATATTAACTTCATAAATTGTCTAAAGCATTGTTATAAAATAGCACACCTTTAGTAGAAACTAAAGAATTACATAAAGAGATGTAAAAAATGAAGAAAAGAAGACTTGTGTAATTCATGTAAAAGCTGTAACTTGGTAATTATATGCTTTCAAACAGCCTTCATGGAAACAAACTGCTAAATTAATTTAACTCCAAAAGTCACACATAGTAAAATGTACAAACAAAATTAAAAAAAATACTCCTATGGTAGAAATCATCACTTAAAATTCTGTAAAATACATAATTCTCAGATAATAATGATGAATTATCATTGTTGATAAAATTCCTGTAATAAACTCAGGAAAATTTGCAAAGCTTATAGTGAAAAGAAACCTTAAGACCAAGGAACATGGGAGGACTGGGTTCTCCCAGATATTTTCATAAGACCAAAATTTAAAACGGGCCATTTTCCCCACAATCCCAGAAATGCCACTGCCTCGTCTTCCCAAGTAGATAATTTGTGAAACAAGTTATTTTATTAGGACAATGCTTTCACACATGCTCCTCTTCCCATTCTAACAATAAAACCTCCCATCCTCTATGACAAACAAAAAGATCACCAAGTTTCACTTTTTCCTTTCTAAAATAAGTTTGCTTGCATTCTGAGGACATAGCTTGAAGTAGAGGAAGGAGCAAGAGACTTAGCAGACGATTTGAAAACTGACTAAACCTTAAACTTGGTTTTCTCATTTTTCTTCTAGCAAAAGGTTGGTATGAAGATTCAATGAACTGATGTATTCAGTTGCTTTCAGAATGGCTTTTATCAAGTTAGGGTGTGAATCATTATCAGGTGCAAGATATTCTTATTTGTTGAATTAGAGCATGTAAGTTGCGAAAATATGCTTGCAGAAACCAGGTCTGGCCCAGGGCCTATAGCCCAGGCAGAGGATGAAGCACAGGGCATAACTGCCCCTCCTGGAGCACAAGGGATACCTCTGCAGTGAGGCATCTCACCTGGACCAGGCCACCAAGGAGCTTGGTGTTTCCTGAGGCTAGGTGTCCCCAGGTGGGGCCTGACTAGCCAAGGAAGTCCTTTCTTGAAGATGACTTAGAATTCAAGTCCTTCAATAGTTTAGGTCCTTCTTATGGTATGCCCCAAGGGCACTCCAAAATCATCTTCTGTATGTTTTACACTCTATAAGGAGCTGGAAGAGAATCCAGTTTCCTAGGCCTTAATGGGGGCTGGGTCTTCTGTGAACCACTGAGGGCCTCTGCTTTTAACATGTGGTTCTTTAGAAAGAAATCAAGTTTCAGGTGCAACCCAAACCCAAGATTTGTCTCAAAATATGTTTCAAATCTCTTCATTTTGGGGGAAATGAAATGTATACTGATTTCACATGGACTCCTCTTTGGCAAAATGTAAAATTTAAAAAGACAAAATTTTGCCGTCTGTTTATCTGTGGTTTTTTCCATTTTATCCTTCATTTTAAATCATTTTAAATATGCACACTGGTTCCAGTTTAAGCATTATTTCATTGTGTTGACTGCTGCTACAAGACAGTACTAATTCAAATGCTCTATAACGTGTTTTTCCAAATCTAAAGTACTAATTTTGCATTGATAATATCTTTAATACCTTAAGAATTTCTTAAAATTTAATTCCCTGAATCATGGTTAAACGGAAGAATGTGAACAAACTGGTAGTGATCTCCATTATAATAATATTAATAATTTAAAGATTTATATTGTAGCAACAAAATAAAATTACACACACCCATACACATGTCAGTTAATCATTTTGGAGTTTGGTTAGATAGTCAGTAATACTCCATTAATAGAAATGTTTTATTTGAAAGAGTTTCACTAAGCATCTACAGTATGTATATACTGTATATTTTCATCATTGGCTGAATACCCTAGCTATAGGCTTGGTCTCAACTCCTCTTTAGAACAAACAAATATAGCTAAGGGTGGCTCAACCAGTTAACACCAATAATTCAGGCAAAAATAAATTAAACATATATTCTATCCCAACTTATCAGCAGATAAAGCCTTTAAGCATACCTATAGGAAAGTTATCCCATAGTAATTTAACAGCATATGAAAAGAAATATCACTTAATAAGAAATTGGTATAACTTCAGCTCAAGAAAAAACTTGAGTAAGGATACCAAAATCACATTTAGAAAATAAGTAAAATCATAGAGTCCTAGAAAAATTAGGAAACAAAAGCTGTATTAAGGAACCACAAAATCAAGTATCTGGCTAGATTTTTTTTTTTTTTTTAAAGCAGTTCAATATTGAAGTTCATATTGGTCTTAAGCCATTCTTTTATTAGTATTGCAGATTAAGGGACAAGTAAAGTAATTCTCTGCTCAGAGTCCTGCCAGTGATGACTTTAGGAGCAAAGTTAACTAATAAAAGTGTGTGTATTAACACTAAACACTACAGAAAAAGTACCAAACCAAATTATTTCATTTCGTACATTTTTTCCCTTTAATCATTCCTAGAAGTCACAGTTTATCTTTTCTCTTTAACCATTCTTAGAAGTCATATTTTTTATATGTAACGAGTTCCTCATTCTTTATCTTAGGAAATATTTTATAGAAGCATTTAGAGATCAAATTCAATAACTTTGTGTGCATGGGCAGGTGGGTGTGTACATATGTATATAGATGTCATGCTTTTCTCCTAAAGAAGCATGGCTTTTTTATTCACAATTATAGCAATGATTTCCTTATAGTCTGTTCCTATAGACATCAAGACCAGATTGATTTTCATGAAATAAAATAGCGAAAATGGATTTTGTGACATTTCTAAAAAACAATTGTTTCAGAACCTTATGATAAGCAGTTTATTATTTAGCCACTCAACAAGTGGCTAAATATTTATTTCTTATTTATGGAGTATCTGTAGTACTTTCAGTCTTTAGTGCTGAATGAGCTTTTCCTAGATTTCTATACAAGAAAATGTATGACTACTTTCTACTATTGATGAGAATAAAGTAATATTAAGATACAATTTCACTATGACATTGTCATACGAATATTTTGACTTATTCTTCCGTGTTCAATTTTTATCCAATTTCAGCTGACTTTATTTTTAAGAGCTGTAAATGTCACAAGTTAAACATTTGCAGCCAGGCACGGTGGCTCACGCCTGTAATCCCAGGACTTTGGGAGGCCGAGGCGGGTGGATCATGAGGTCAGGAGATTGAGACCATCCTGGCTAACATGGTGAAACCCTGTCTCTACTAAAAATACAAAAAAATTAGCTGGGTGTGGTGGGAGGTGCCTGCGGTCTCAGCTACTTGGGAGGCTGAGGCAGGAGAATGGCGTGAACCTGGGAGGCAGAGCTTGCAGTGAGTGAAGATCACGCCACTGCACTCCAGCCTGGATAACAGAGTGAGACCCCATCTCAAAAAAAAAAAAAAAAAGAAAAGAAAAAAAAATTGCTTGTGATTTTTGAGTCTAATACACTAGCAAATTTTTATCTAAGGATTTGTAATGCAAATTGATTTACTGAATTATAACAGTTATGAGGTTACTTTTTAAACTTAGTTTAAAAAACAATACAGATTCACATACCCAAAGTTACCTGGAAGGCAACTTTCTTTCCTAAAACTCCAAAAATTTAAAGAAAGAGAAAACATGCCCATATTTTGGAATATGGATAGAATTCCTTATCAGCCCCATTTAAAGCTGCCTTCAAGGATTTTATTAAACTTAATTATGAAAGATTACAAATGAGATGGTGTGTAATTGGTACCAGCTGCAGTTCGTATTGGAAAGTATAAATACAAATGAAATTATTTATTTTTATTTACTATTCAAATGGCGATTCTAAAACTAGTTGGGAAAAAACTGACTTTATTCTTTTTCTGTTGAGTTTAAAATACTTCTTTACTTAATAACAACAGTAGAGACAAATATCCCATTTAAAGACTACTTTCACCCCCAAATAACCCCAAGAATGAAGGAACACAAAGCAATTTTCTTCCTTCTATCTAATTAGCAGCTTATTGTTTTTATATGAGAATTAATGATTTGGGACCAAATTCTCCTCAAGCAACTATAGGAATTTAAAAACATCTAAATCAATCAATCTATCTATCTATCTATCTATCTATCTATCTATCTATCGAATTTCTTATTGAGATTCTTCCTCAAGCATTAAAAAAAAGTGCTAAACAAAGAAGGGCAAGGAGGCAAAGGAGACTGCACCTGGGGAGGGCGGCTGGGTGGTGTGCTTATCAGGGGGGCGGGACCCATGGCTGAGGCAGCATTCAAGCTCCTTTCCCTTTCGTCCTGGTATATTCGGTCTCTTTCAGCTTCCGGTAACTGCAAGAAATTCTGCATAGCCCGAAGGTTTACCAGCAAAGACTGGGATGCAGTCTTGGGGTCCTCTTCCTTTCGGAGGATTTCTGAAAGCAAGCCCTGCAAGAAATGAAAGGCACAGGGTGAGCCTGCTCCCGTGCTCTGCTTGGCCAGCAGTGATCCTTCCCTTTTCTTCTCCACTCTGTTTAGAAAATGAACCGTCAGAGGCATTAATTCTGCATAGGAATATATTAGTTACAATTGAAGTGGTAGAGAAGAGAGCCTCAATTGTATTCTTAATTTTATTAAGCATCTGCTTTACATATAACATAAACTGAAACTGCCTAATTGGTCTCCTGCCTTTGAGTAGCTTAACTTGCCATGAAATCTTTCACAGAGAGACGATCCAGGGAAGTTAAGAATAAATGAAATCCTCATAATGCAACAGTATTGAACTGTATAGTTCTCAAGCTGCCTAGACAAAGGCAGTGTAATGCCCACAGCCCAATATGTAAAGATACAAAGCCATTCCTAGAGAAGTAGAACTTTCAAAGAAAATACCAGAAAATGAATTTTAACATATTAGAACAAAGGTTATTACTAAAGTATCACCTAAGGTTTATACTGTATTTTCACAGGCAATGTTTAAAATTATTCCTTAAACTCCAACTTATCAAAGTACATGACACTAGATGACCCTTTCAATTTACCATTTACAGAGAACCTCACAAATGATTCTAAATACTACCTTGCTGTATTATACCACTGGGTAACAGGTTTATATTTTGAACTTTAAAAACAAGAGATAAGAATTGAAATATATTAACCACTTTTCAACATTGTGAAAATCCATCATAGCATGCCAAGGAAGAGAGTATCAAATTCTGTAATTATCAAATTTCTTGGGGAATAAAAATTGTTATTAGTGATAGAAGAAATTTATAAACCATTAGAAAACTCTTAAGGTGTCTTTACGCCCTAAATAACAGAACATCAATTTTCAACTAATTTTTTTAACTTTTGGAAGAACTCTTTCAAAAATGGGTGGTTCTCCCCATTGCGTTTATGGGACAATATGAAACAAAAGTATTGGAAAATTTTTTTGTTCATTTAATAAGGGCTAAGCAGCCCTTCTTTCTTTAATCTTATACATGAAATAATGCTTGGAATAGTAAGACATATTTGGTTTCTTCACTTAGCAGAATATCAGCTTCAGAATAAAATTTTGTCAAGATTTCTATAGAAGTTGCAAATCTGCTTTCCAAGATTCTGCAGAAACGGTTAAAGGTATATTGGGGAAAAGAAGGTAACGTGTCATGTCAAAACAATGAAACCCCAAGGTTAAAACATTTGTTTTTTTCATGGTTTATTAGAAGTACAAACCTGGTTTTGTTCCCAGATTTAGAAATAATGTACCATACTGCCTAAATGTAACAGTTGGGTGCAGACAATACAAAAGTACTGATACTTCTTAAAATGATTTATAAGCTGGTATTTAAGAAGAATTTTAAATAGGTGCAGAGCGCTTCAGAGTCCACTTTAAAGTTGTCTCTCACTTAGTCTCTTACAGCTAAAGCCTGGAAATTGGACCTGAACTTTCGGTTTTACCCTAAGAAATGTGACTGAAGAATGAAGGGCACATGTCCTTTTACTTAGGATACTAATGAGTAATGCTGTAACTGTGTCTACACAAGAGCAAAACATCTAGTCAATTTAACTAAAATTCAGTCAAATAGGCAGTCAATCATCCAGCTATTTAATTTGCACAAGGCCAACTAATTAGTTTGACTATATTTCTGTTGTCTCCTATTGAAAGTAAAACATTCAGGTCTCAAAAAAAAAAAGTTTGAAAATAGGTGTAATGAAATAACCCTTGCTCTTTACTCCTCTCCACCAAATGTTATGTCTTAACAAATGTACTTGACAAAGTAATATATTCTCAACTACACAGATATGGATACATGCAAACATCAGTATAAACACAATATGCTACAAATTCCTTGAGCATAATAATCTAATATTCACTTTCATCATCCCAGCACGATGCCTCTCATGTGAAAGTTTGATAAATATCTACTAAATGGACTGATCATGTGTATACAGACGACAATGGAGAAAACAATCACAAATAGGTGATAGAAACTTAAGAATAAGATGTGTTACCTATAAGTAAATTCTAGTGGTAGTTATTGGCACTCATGTTGGGCCTACAGTGAAAAGTTCTGTGGCATTTTGTGGGATGTTTTTCCCACAAACATAAAATTGTGTAATAATTTTAAAAATTAGGGCAAAAAGATAGTTATAAATATTTAGGATGTTATTTGGGAAGCTTGAAATTAGATACATAAATATCCCAAAAAACAAGTACTATATCACGTATTTCTATCAAAAATATTTCCTGAGGCAGCAGAAATCTATAGTGAGAAAGTCAAATACAGGAAAACATACAAAATAATATTCTTTCTCAGGTCTTGCTAACGTAAGGCTAAGTCATTTCCATATGGTTGAGACTGGAAGATGGTACGTCACCTGGGAGAAAATTTTAAAAGATCTCTACCTATATTTTGATGTTGGTGTGACTTCCTATTTGAGCATACACGTGTTTTTAGGGGCAAAACATTTTACTTCCACTTAATTATTCTACTGGAACAAAGTTTTTTGTTTGTCTGAAATATGATGATGGTATAAAGTGATGTTTCAAGCCCTGAAACACTCAAGGAGCTTTAAAGCAGCCAGTGTAGACAGTCTCAGGTGTTTCAGAAACCTTCGGGGTTTTTTTGGTTTTTTTTTTTTTTTTTTTTTTTTTTTGGCCCAGAGCTTTCAATGAGGGGAGTGCCCCCTGGTGGAAATGCTTGAAAATATTGTCAGAAAACATTTTGATTAGTGATAATTACTTAAAAAAAAAAAGTCACTTTAGAATAATTTTGGATGCAAAATGACTGCTATCAGATCCCAGATATGGGAATGCATGTTTTGGTCCTGTTCTGGTTGTTGTTACTTGAATAGCTGCATTCATATTTATATGCTGAATTCAAGATATATGTGGCCACCAGTTCCCACTTCCTATAATTGAAGATATAGTATAGACTTGCCAAGGTCATTTGTATTAATGCCCCACATAGTGGACGGTAAGAGCAACCTTTTACCAAAAATTTTTCATGCTAAAAAATAGTATGCCAAGGCCATCATGTACCTTACTTATTATGTCACAGAATATGCTGAAACATCAGAACTAAAATATGTCATCAGTATCAAGAATCATTGGTGCTCAATAAATTTGTTGAAGTAAATTAAACAAAATCATTAGTCATTCTTATGTCTGAAAAGAACCTGAGAACTTGTATGTTATGTAGGACGTTACCAGTACCTCATAAATATTAATTTTATTGAAAATCAGAAGCTGCCTTTCATTGGGACTTCACATCTTACCAATAATTAGATGTGAGCTGTATCTATGAAAACATGAAATTATTTTGCATTGTCATTACATAGTGGTTAAGTCAGAGTTCTAATTTTTTCAACTAAAGAATGAATTTACTGCTGAATTCCTAAACCTGTTTTTACATTCCAAAAACAGTTTACAAGTTATTACAAGTAAAATTCATTAGTAGTTGTAAAAGAAAGAAAAAACCTCCAATAAATATTATCAGTATTTCCAAAAGCTAATTATGAATTCTTTAAAACAGCAGATAAGCGAAAGAGACTGCCAATCTGAACAAAAGGCCTGTCTGGCCTCCCGTTTGTCTCCTCTTTGAACATAATCACTGATTCAAATAGATTTTATCAGCTTCATGGAACTTCAAAGCCCTCAGAAAGAAAATATGATTTGATGAAACCTCCCTCCTAAAAAGAAAATACATAGAATATTCTTCAAGGCTACCTGCCTCTATTGTTTGGTGAATTTTTAATCACATGTCCAGGTAAAAGACTATTTTCAAACTCCACCTACTACTATGGACTCATGCCAAGTAAGTTTTAGTAGATACATTTATCTCTGTCGTTTGGCAGACCAGAGAACTGTCATGTTTGGGTAATAGCACCTTTTTACCTTTTATTCAATAGTGATATGGATAGTGGACTTTTCTTAAATTACACTGTGAAGAATTATAGAAACACAGTAGCAATTTCTGTTATACTAAAGCAGGCAAATTTCTCTCCATCACGTAATTTACAGAACTCAAATTTAATAAAACATTACATGATGGCCCATTACTGTTATCAGTTTTGAATAATCCATCTTCATTCTTTATTTTACTGGAAAATAAAGTGTGCCAAAGACAAGAGGAGGGGGAAGAAAAAGGAGAAAAAAGCCACAGAGTGGGATCAGAGTTAAACTCTCGATTTTATTCTTTCAAAAAATCAAAGGATATTAAAGAAGGTATTCACATGTGTCAGAACCATTAAATAGCAATAAGATAGAGAAGTGAATTGAAAAGTATAAATCTAGATGCTTTGGCAATTACTTTTAGCCATAGGTTTCCATTAAAAAGACATCAAAATAGACATAACTGAATGAATGACATATGCGAAAAGCTGATATCTTCAACAGCAATTAAAGAACATATGCCCATCAATTCAGAAGGGGAAAAATTCCTTAAAACAAGTAGTTATATAGGTTTACCATAAATTTTCAGAAAAGGTAGGCTTAAAAATATAGCCATGCGTGAAAGTCTTAAGAGAGGGTCATGTGTTAATATAGGGAACCCTATTAAGATGATGAGAAAATTCTCAAGAGTTAAAACATAAGACCCAGGATTTTAAAGTTATAGAGCTGTCAATGACTAAAATAATCCTCAATTCATAAAAGTGTTATCTATCATATTAAGGTCTTAATGTTGTTTTTAAGGAACAGTGTTTTTATCTGACCCTATCATATAACTTTGTATTTGTATGTACATATTTTAATTTTTTAAAAGTCGGAGTTGGATTTGCACATTGTACTATGTGCACACAAATGTGTGATGTGCAATTTAACTCTGCAGAGCTCCTTGTCTATACATATGCATTAGCGTGTGTATTTTCGTACTCCACACTCACACCATACCCTCACTCTGCACCTGCTTTTATTGAAATGCATACACTTTGAAATAAACACACTACATCCAGTCGTACGAATGCATAATCATTAAAAAATAAATGCAGCTGTGTATGTATGTGTGGTTTTTAAGAATGACCAATGAAAATACATTCATGCCTGCATGTGCAAAAGCTAGTTCTCAAGGAATTAATATTGAAATATATATAAAAATTTCCTCTTAAGTCAAACATCTTCAATATGGCCCTGTATCTACTTTGACTGAAGTGTATCAATTATCAATATAAAGCTTTAAAACCTCCTTCATAATCCAGGGCACTAAATATTTTTTTGGTAATGACTTCTTTTTCTAAATTGGCTATTATTAATAAGGAGGTATCTGTAATCAAGCTATACAAGGTTTTCATTCTCCTCTCACTCTCAGAAAAATAAAGTCACTGTTTTTATTAACCACAGAGATGATTACCTTTCCAAAGAGATTAACATGGTATAAAAGAGAAAATTTTGCCTTTCTTCCAGTAACAAATCCTGTAGATATTGTAGAATTTGTCCTTTTAAGGACCAAAGGCAGAAGAAATGGCCAACTCCTCATAGTAATGGCTATAACATCATAAACCCAAGAAAAGAAAAGCTGTAATGATGGGTGGCAACTTTATCCTCACTTCTCTGAGTTCTACTATCTTAGCATTCTTCACTATATAAAGGACACTTAGTGCTTTAAGAAATAACTATTTGCTCAATTTTTAAGACACCAGTAACTATATATATAAACACATATCCATATATATACACACACATATACACACACATACATATACACACACACACATATATATATAATTTGTGTCTATGTCACGATGTCTTTGTGGGTTTTTAACTCAATTCAAAAAAGCATTATTGAACTGTTATGGAGAGACCTACTTTTTTTGGCCTAGTATGGAGAATTATTAGTACTTACAATATTTACTAAAATAAAGAATGCTACCAGAAACAGGAATACTTAGAGGGTTGACTTTTCATTCATTTTCAATAATTATCGCCCAACTGAATACAGGTGTCATACTAATTTTACCAGCTAATAATGAACACAGTTTTTTAAGGTGTAAAGATATGGAACTAGGTAAAACCACACAACTTTAACCTGAGACATAGCCTTGTGCAACTGCCCTTTTAAAAATAGACAAACATACCAAAAAAAAAAAAAAAAAAAAGATGAATCAACTGAAAACAAACACTGAATTAGAGGCTTTGTCAGGTCTCCTAACTCCCCATCTAGTTAAGGCAAGCCAAAAATAAGTCACAGCTGGGATTCTCCTAGGTATGGAAACTCTGCCAACTAGGAATTAATACTAGATTATTTCTGTACCAGAATTTTATTCTTATAATCATAATCACATAATAAACAAAATAACTTAAATATGAAAGGAAAATGGGAGTCAGGCCAAAAAATAAGATAAATTGACAAAAGAAAGAACAGCGGTAAAACAAAAAAGTTGAAAAGGCATAATGTCCTCATTCTAATTAAAGTTACGTGGTTTTTCATTTTTTTTTTGTTTGTTTTGGTTTGGTGTTTTGTTTTGTTTTGTTTTAGTGTACCTGGGCCAAAAATAAACACCATATATATAATGTATCATACTAGTTTCAAAACAAAGAAAAAAATTATTCACAGTTCAATAGAATGCGTTTAGGGCTTCTCAAATATCTTTATCTTGTCACTTCTCATATACATCACTTTTTTCCCATGACCCTCTTAAACACCTTCCACGCTGATAGACAGTATCTTCACAGGAATTGGGCCAGGAAGACAAAGTTGTGCGTATTAGGGGTATCAATAAGCAGGCAGTGAGATCTCTACAAATGGGTCTGCAAACTAAGGCCTGCCAGCCACACTTACTCCACGGCCTGTTTTGTAAATAGTTTTACCGAGATACTACCATACCCGGTGCCATTCATTTATTGTCTGTGGCTGCTTTGTTACTCTACAGTGTAACTGAGATTTTATGTGCTTCAAAACCTAAAATATTTACTATCTGGTCGATAACAGAATAAAGTTTGCTGATGCCTGGTCTAGACAATGAAGTTTGAAGACAACAGCATGATGGAGAGCACAAAGCTTACCAACGTATTATGTTAATACATCATATAATATTTTTTCAAAATGGCTGCTTAGAATTAAGTGGATTATTGCTTCCAAGGTGTTAACAACGATGACGACGACGATGACAACACTGCTGTGGAACTTTAACAGGGAATATTTATATACCTAAGTTTGATATGGGCAGTAACATAACATACATGGGAAAGACGATAGGCTAGAAGCCTGTAATCCTGCCAATGGCCTTGACCGAGTCATGAAACTTTTCTTATCTACTATAGTTTAAGATTCCATTATATAAAAGCACAAGTAATGCCAGTTTAAAACATGTTTGACATTTAATTAGTCTTTCAAAGTCCCTGAATTGGGATCAATCTGCTCATAGGTTTCCCTTGATTCAGAAGTGTATCTAGGAAAAGGTGTGATAAAATTGAGGCTCCACCAGGAATAGGTAATATGATCACATGGAGAGAGAGAGAAAATGTTAGTACAGAAGTAAAAGAATAAACTTCAGTTATAGATGGGACTAAAGAGAGAGAAAAGAGGAGACAACACAGAACCATTTACCAAACACAACTGACCTGAGTTCTGTTAAAAGCCACACGTGCAAATACTGCCTGGGAGATTCCTGCTCGTTTCAGTTCATCGCGTACCCACTGGTAGATTTCGGAAGACACCTCTGTGTTGGTCGAAACCTGTTGCTCCAAAGGCTTATTCATAGATCTACTGACAGGGGGAGGGTGGTTCAAGTATTGTTGGTTTAAGGACTGCTGGGCTAAAAGTCTATTCACTGCATACTGCTGGTTCAGCAGCTGAGCCATCACCAGCTGCTGGTTGACCAACTGAGGACTGATAGGCGTTGATACGAGCCCAGGGTGCAGGTTTGGAAGAGGGGTCCGGACAGAGGGCTGGCTGCCATGGGAGAGCTGCGCAGGGGATGGAGGCTGCTCGGCTGTGTTCCCTGGAACTGGTTGCTGTCCAAAATTGACATGATTGGCGCCTTGCTGGGATAGCTCAGAAAGACTATCCATTTCAACTAAAGTGGACAAAAAGTAAAATCACATTTAGCCAGCAATGATTAGCATTGATAAAGATTTCTAATCATTTCCTACATTGAAAAAGGGCAGGCACAGGGCACACCCCAAATCCAAAAAAACCAAGAAAATTTCAAGTTGCAACTTACCAGGCTGTGTTTTTGCTCTCCTTTTCTGAATTATTCTACAAACTTTGGAAGTGGGACAGCACTCCTAATCTCATTTTTAAAAAGTGGTTTAGATTTAAGGCATAAAATCAATTATATCCAAATTCTTTCCGACTAGTTGTTCACTCTCACTTATTACCCCAAGAAGGCTTATAAGCAACATTTTTTTAAAAATGGCTTCTAAAAGAATGTCATTTGCTTAATGACAACTAAAAACAGTGAACTGAGAAAATAAACTTACAGTAAGCGACTAAAAATTTTACAAATATATTCTCATGGTGTTCGTTAACTTTAGTACTCTAGGAAAAAAGTGTAGAAGAAAAAATATGACGTAAAATATTACCTACTTTCAATTTTTACCTAGCAGTGAATAGAAGTAGTTAATGTAATAAATAAAAACGGGCATAATAGTAAGTGCATATTGAATGCTTGCTGAATATCGTATATGGCTTGTTTCATTTTAATTCTAACCATCATGGGCAGTAGGTATATCTGGAAATACTTTTTAGAATAAAGCAAGTGATTTATTGTATATCAAGCCAGCATACCCAGTGTTGCTAAGATCCAAATGTTTTTCTTCAGGAAGCTATGGCCATCACCAGATGCTAAAGACAATCTTGCAGGGAATCGTTCTGGTACAATGGTGATGCTGTCATGATTTTGCAATTTATTCCCACCTACCCAGGATGAATGCTTCTCCCTTGGCTAGGTTCCTCATATGGATTGGCTGAGCATCATCTCTAAGTGTGTAAATGCTTTTCTGTACGAGGAGGAGACTGGTTCGATGCTCTTGGCTAGAAGGGCTGAGCATGAAGCTGTACGTAAACAGGAGTTTCCAAATTGTACACAGACTTCCCATGTATAGACTCTAGTTTGATTTTAATCATCAATTCTCTTTTCATTAAATATGCAGGTTTTACATTTAGAGGAACTTTATCATAGTGCTATAGCTCCTGATATATGCAAAATATAACTAAGAATTAGGGAAGAAACCTTCAGTTTCTACCAGTGATATCAGCCCAAGTGGGCCATTCACAGAGAGTAGTAATTCAAGCAATTATTCCAAAAATGATGCATTGTCTTCATTACAGCCTTAAGCTATAAAAGGCAAAGAATCCATTTTGGTAGATGGATGGCTTTTCTTCAAATATTAAGAGCTAAAACATGCTCAAAATTTGGGTTTCTTATTGCTTAAAAAATTTTTAGAAAAAAAGTTATTAAATGAATGTAAAGAAATAAACAGAAATAGATTTAAAACAGGACATAATGCCCATTCCTGTATTATTTTAAAATATATGTTTTGGAGGGTACAAGTAGGTGAAAGAGAATATTAATAAACATTAAAACATTAACCTTAATCACAGTGTTTGCTTTTGTGAACGTTCACAAACTCAACAGGGAGAAAATGCCATCATCTAAATGCTTAGGTACCATACACAACTTTTATCTGTCATTTTACACTGCAGATAATTTTAGTGTACTTCTTGCATAACAAATATTCACCTAAAGTTATGTGTTAAGACAGAATGCTCTCTTGGAACTAAGTTTAGAAATGATGCAATAATTGCTCTGGTATGAATGGTAAAGCAGTACGCTTATCAAAGTGCCCATCCATGGGGGCTGGGGGGTTAGAGCTATAAAAATCACTTGATCTCTATTGTGGAAACTATAAATATAGTTTAATTTAAGAAGTTTAATTTCCTTAAAAATTGGGTGCAAAAGTAGGGACTTTCTCATTCAACCAGACAAAAACAAAAAAACCTAAAAGCATGACTTATCACTGAAAGAAATCACAGGTAATATTAGTTATTCAAGGCCTGGTTAGGTCTTCACTGAGATGTTAAAAAATGACAGCTCCCCTCCTAACGCCTCGATTTTCTGCATGTCTGACAACCAAGTCAGTTTGGCTGATTTAAACACAAACATTTATTGAATTTAATTATCTCATTATACTCATACCCACTTCCCACCCCCAAAGAAACATTCTAAATTGATCTCTAATTGGGCAATCAAAAGACCTGGCTTTAGATGTGACTTTGATAAACCCCCAAATGACACGTAATGGTATGTAGCCACTGCTGCAACGTTTTTTTGCTTACCCATCATATCTTTTGTCTTCTTGAAATGTTTGTACCACCTTCCAAATTCTTGACATTTTGCTGCTGAGACATTTGCATAGTAAGTACTGTTCACAATGGAAGAAATCATACTCTGCATGAAGAAGGGGGGAGAACATTTGTAATACACAGCGGCACAAGATGGAACACAGAAATGATCTCAATTGTGGCAACTGTATTTTTTTTAATCAACTGAGTACCAACACATTTTGGTTTCACACTTTAGCCTAAAGCTTCGACTTCTTAAAATTCATTAAGTAGATCATCAAATGCTTATTTAAGTAGAAAGCAACAGCCCACTGAGACCAGTATAGAGCTATCAAACCCACAGACTTTGCTTTAGCATTTACTGAATCTCCATCAATGTCATCCATTCCTAGGCTGTCAAACTTCCACTGGTCCCAGTAAATCCAAACACGTGAAGATGACTTTATAATTGTGATTCATAAATATATGTGACTTTGTGATTTTTTGACTGGACTCTACATCCTTTCTACTCAAAGTATAGACCAGGGACCAGCAATATGGGCATCACTTGGAAGCTTGTTAGAAATGCAGAATCTTGGGCCCTACCCTAGACCAGTGCACTCAGCACCTGCATTTTACCAAGGTCCCCAGGGGATTCGCATGTATATTAAAATTTGAGAAACAGCACTTGCGCTTTCCACTCTATTATTTGGATTTAAAGTGGAGGTGCATTAACACTGATCAAAGGTTAACTGATCGTCTTTGAGAAGAAACAAACTATTCACAGAGATCCTTTATCAAGAGAAAAACATTCTGCAATCTTATTACTGGCTTCATGAATAGTAAAGCTTAAGTTCTGAATCTCAAACTGATTATAAAAATTTTAAATTTATACCTTTCATGCTTCTCAATTTCTCAAGGATACCACAAAACCATGACCTACTGTGACTTTTCTTTATCCTGCTTTTAATAAATGCCCTGAAAACAGTGTCAGCTCTTTAACACACAAAAATGAAGAAAGACATGATTTTAATGTATTACTAAGTAGGGGTTTTTTTAAAAAATGAAGAAAAACAATGATTTTAATGTATTACTAGGAGGATTTTTTAAAAAATCATTTTCAATCTTCCCAGCAAATTTTGGTTATGTTAATTTCAATGACTAAATTCATGGTCCATTTTAACCCGTTACCCATATTCTCTAGTAACAGCTAACTTAACTCCCTACCGAGTCTTAGGAGTAAGATTTTGCAGCACCAATCTATCCCTCAACCCTATTTGCAGAAACAGAACTCACATTTTAGACATCAGTTGGTCTATTGTGAAATAGTTTATAGAAGGCAGCACTGTTCAAAAGGCAGTGAGCAACCAGAAAAGCCAGTTTGGGGACAAAAGTATTTTTACATAATTATCTTCTTTAAGTTACCTCTAATGTAAAGCTCTTTCGGTTATTATTCATTCTCCTGACATCCACCATCAGTGTTAATTCTGTAGCATGCACACATTTCCGGAATATGTAAATTTGGGGGATCTCTAAAGAACTTCCAGTGAAGGATAAGCTGGAGTCGCATTATTTATGTAAAACACAGCTATCTTTCCTAAGAGGCACTGTGATATCTTTTTTTTTTTTTTTTTGACACTTTCTACTTTATAGTCATTTTCACATTTTATATCTCTAAAAAGACATTCTTAATGTGTTCATGATGCTCTGCCATTAATCCAATAGCTTGCAATTTCACTAAGAGCCTCCCACAGTCCACAGTGTAAAAAGACACTTAGCAAAGTTGCCAAAACCAGAGCCAGAAGATTACCTGATCTGTCAGCTTCAATCTCACTTACTCTCTTGTAATAAGGGATCAATAAAGTCAGACACTAATAAAAACTATTGAGATCGCTGATGGATAATGGTGATTCTTCTGCAAATGGATGACAGTTGATGTTCTTCCACTCTGGTCCAATTTTTAAAAAAATTATTACTCTTTATCTAGATATTCTGGCAGTTTCTTAAATGTTAATATAATAATACACATAAGTTTTAGATGTGGTTTATGTTTTACTTTTTAGAAGTGTATAGAATATCCAAATTTTGCTGAGGTTTTTGAAAAACATCCAGTCTACTTCAGTTTGCCAACAGTTCTATATATGAAATTTGCTCTTTGCTGCACACCTACTATATGCCTGGCTGGTACTAAGGATGCAAAGATGGCAGAGGCATCTGCCTACAAAGATGAGGCACCTGTCATCCAAAGATGGCAGACAGCCTCTGCCTACAAGAAGTTTACTATCCATTAAGAACACAGATATGTAAATAGATCATCTCAATTTAATGTGATTTGTATATCAACAGTGGAAAATGTAGGGGATGATGGAAGGAAGAAGAATCCATGGTGTGTGTGTGAAAAAATGTCTTAAATATTATAAAACTAGACCCTATATGTAATAGTGCTATACAGTTTATTATTATCCATACATGGAAAATAATATCCATATATGGATCATTGTCAAAACTTCCCCCTACCCTACTTAACCCTAAATTGGTAGGTTCTGGGCTTAAGTGCTTTTCTGTCACATGGTGTATGCTTAGGAAACTCTGATTAATGTAAATAATAGCCTAAGCAAGACTTAAATCAAAAAGCTAATTCATAACTAATAATGCATGACAAAGCAACTTTTTGGATTCCCTATCTTTCTGTGCTTTTGAGTGACTAGGAAATATTTCCTAATTCAGGCAATTTGGAGTCATGTCTGATTTTATTGGACAATATGCAATAATCTGTCCAATTAGATTGCTCATATAGTCACTTTATGAGGAGTATGTGTGGGCGTGTGTCTGTGTGTGTGTGTTTCAGGTGGTAAAATTCCTACTAAAGGCTTAGGCATAGCATTGGAATAGACCAGTCAGCCGGTTTCAATGGCAGGAAAGAGACTGCAGAATTTTGTGGTGCACATGGCATTTGAAAAATCATATTCAATAGTGTAATCTTAAATTTAGAATATCAGGAAAAAAACACTTATTGTTTTGATAACACAAATAAAAGAAAGTCATGATTGGTAATATTTTCCTAGGTGGTGGGACGTACAGATAGTAGGCCAAGTTCCACATCAGAAAGGCTTGGGACTCCTACATCACTTAAAAGGAGATACTGGTTTAAAAAGACTGCACTAAGCTGTGAGTTCACACAGGTCTGGGGCACCATATTATTTTCTAGCTCAATGCCTGGCACATAATAAAATAAACACTAAATGTTCATCTGACAAAACAGAACAGAAATAAACACACATTCAAGTGAGGATGTGTCACACACTGGTAGCATGACCTTGGGTCAAACAGTTGACCATTCCATCACAATTTCCCATGCTAAATGGGAATGGTAATAGCATACACCTCATGGAGTTGTTCTGAGAATCCATCCATTCAGGCATTTTTAAAATTCATTTAGCATATACTTATATTCTACCATGTGCCAAGCACTGGGCAACTCACTAGGAAAATGACTTGAAGAGACATACTATCTGCCCTTGGACAGACAATAAATAATAGATGTGATACAATTAGCACAGAGCCTGTAACATATTATGTATAAACTGAAGAGATATTAATTACTATGACAACCCTCTGCCGCCTCCTCATCGCTGGGCTTTCATTATATGATCACATTTCACATCAGGTGACTATGCTTTAAATATCAAAGGAGTATCAGATAAAAGTTTCAAATGACATACAGTATTTTGAGTCTTTTTAATGTAGAATAAAGCATACTGATTAAATTATTAAGTTCCAAGTTGGGTCAAGGAATAGTAAGGGAGAACACCAAAGGGAAATATTTCATTTCTTCTCATACTCCAATTTGGTGGTGTTTTCTGAAGCTGGCCTATATCTGGTAGAAAGCATCAAGAAGGCATACCACTCCTCTGGCTTGGATGCATGACCCATGCCCTCTTCCATCTCTAGCTAACAGCTGCTCATCCTTCAGGATACATCCTGGGCATCCTTGCTTCCATGAGGCCTTTCCTAACTTCCCAAACCTCCTGCACTAGAGCACTCATCCTGCTGTTTATTTTGCACTGGACTGTGGGCCTTAGGTCTCATCTCAATACATTCTGGATTCATCAGAGGGCTGGACACAAACTAGGTGATCAATAAAAAGGGTCACTGAAACAAGCCACCAGAAATCCTCTTTCCCTTTTTTCTTCCCCTTAAAGGTCAAAGATAATGGCAGCTGAACTGTGACACGAATCTTTCAAATCCATCGCTTTGGCTGTCGTGATAGAAATCATAGTTTCAAGAACCTTTGTTCACTAATTTGCAAGAGATCCCTTCCCAGGTTTTTCAAAATACATCCACACAGATGTCTCGGAAGTTGCAGTGCTCGGTGGTTATGTTATTCCAGTTCTCTCTCAGTGTCTATTTATATGAGCTATCCAAAGCACTTTGAAAAAGACACAACTTGTATGGCAAGTTTCCTATTCAGTGGCTGGTCTGTATAAAACATCAATGTTCACAGAACAAAATAAACCAACCGACAAAACTCAGTCGGTTGAAATCCCAAGTTCAAATGCTACACGGTGTACCAACCAATAAACAGGTCACAGTTTCCAGTGTTGGGAAATACAATTTCAAAGTCGGCAGAAATTGGCTGTGGGTCTCATAACCCCAGTGTGACACAATATTCTCGTCCTAGGAGCCAAGTTGTAAGCTTTTCTAAGATCCATAAAGCACATGTCTACTCCCTATGAGGAGCTTCGGTTCTTTCTGAGAGTCTGCTGAAGTTCCGATCTGAAAGAATGCCATCTTCACAGAAACCCCAGTACTCTAGAATGATACCATCTGCCACAGGCTGAGCTTCCTTTTCAGCCAAATACATTATTTATAACCTTTCTAATTGTGAAAAGGTAAGGGTGGAATTTTTCTAAAGCCTAACTTAAAGATAGATAGAACATTCTGAACCTTTGCTCTAAAATACTCTAGCTCTTTCAAATTTGAAAAACAAAAACCACAAGGAATCGGTTGAGGTTACATAATTTTTCAAAAAATTATATTCTTTTAAACCCCTGCTACAATATCATATGTACTGTAGTTATATATTTTTAACACGTTTAAAAAATGAAGGAAGATTGTTTTATTTTT